TTGCTCAATCCCTCCCCCTAAGCAACCCCCCCTCCCCCAAGTTGTCTGCCTACTTTCTATCTATGAGTCTGTCTCTATTTTCCTTGTTACTTTAGTTTGTTTATTAGATTCCAAGATGACTGAAACCATGTGGTACTTGTCTTTCTCTGACTGGCTTATTTCACTTAACATAGATGTTTTTATTGTGGTAAAATTTTATTTTATATACTTAACATAAAATTAACCACTTAAATTAGTTTTTTCTTATCAGGAATATACATTTTCTTTGTATAAGTTTTAGATTTTGTTATTGAATAATATAAAAAGTAACAAAAACTTACCCATAGTGCTGCAACCTAAACATGATCACTGCTAATATTTTGGAGTTTTTTGCCTTATGACATTTCTTTTGTTCACTTTGTTCTAACTATTCCCTACGCCTGCCCCCCAAGATTTAAAAAATACCGAGTTTTTGCCCTGACTTTTGCTATGTGCTACCACCCACTCCCCTAATATGTACTGTACATCTATTTATGCACTGTGGCCCTTTTGAGGGTTACAAACCACTGCCATATCTAAGATTTTTTTTTGCCCTCCCACTCCTCAAACCAGTGTTTGCTCTGTTGGTGAAGAGAGGTGGATATCACCCACTGAGAATGCTGTTTTAAAGTTATAGATCTTCTTTCATTGTAAAAATTTAAACAATACACAATGTCAAATAGTCTTCTAGTATTTTTCTATGACCATATAAATTAAACAAATAAGCTCATACTATAGGTGCAGTTTTGTGGCGTAAGCTCCACTTAGTTTTAGTTATAATTATTTATAGTATGTTAAAATTTACTCAATCAAACCCCTATTGATGGACTTTCAGGTTACCTTCATTTTTTGGTTTTCATAAATAAAGCTACAGTGAAAGCCTCATGGTCAAATCTTTGCCTGCATTTATTATTACCTTAAGATAGACTTCTAGAGAGATTTATTAGGCTAAAAGCTATGAACTATTTTGAGGCCCCTGACATGTGTAGCTGAATTTTTTTTGAGAAAATATGTCCTAATTTAAACTCTCATCAGAAGTACCCGAGAGACATTATTTGTTGCAGTGTTAACTAGCATAGATTATTATAAAATCTTTCTAATTTGATAGGTACAACTAAGCCAGTCTGTTTAGGATGCTACTAAGGTTTTAAAGTAGATCAAATGAATTCCTTCAGAAAGACAAAACCCCTTATCCAAAGCCACAGAGCTTATGTAGGGGTGTTACGGACATGAGGCCCCAAGGAGTGGGGAGCTCAGGGCCCTCATCATGTCCCAGGTTCAAGGATTACAGTCCAGAGTCTGATGATCTGCATCAATGTCCTTTCTTTTTACTTAGTTTTGATTTTTTAAATAGAAAAGGCAGTTATTTTTAATGAGATGGTTGTTCTGATTTTATGAGATTGCCTGGCCTACTGAGGGACACAGAATATTAGGAAGAGAAGGACATGTTAATGACTATGCAGATTGAAAATCCCCTAAGATCAGAGACTATTAATCATCATTTCCCCAGGAGCCAGTACACAAATAAATATCTGTTGGGTTGAACTATCATGGAAATTACCCAGAACTAAATATTATTGAGACTTCCTCCACAAAAACCATCATATAAGCATATACTATATATGACTCCCTTCCCCGGTGTAAGAAAATTCCACATCTCTTTTTATCTTTCAAGTCATTTAAACTTATTTCTCAAGTTTTATCCCCCTAACTGTTTTTAAAAGCATAAATCCAAGGGCATCTGGGACTTCATGGGCAATCTGGCTTGTCATTCACTGTGCTCATATTTGCTGGAGCTCCTGTCAGGGAAGTAGCTCTGGGGAATCTCCCTGGGACTTGACCTGGTTGTGTGAAGACTCTCTTTTCCATTGAGTTTCTCTGCCAGCTGTGTAATGACCACCTGTGAAATGCAGTCCAAAGCCCTGCTTCGCTCCCCTGCCCATTGATATCACTTTGGTTGGCTCATCAGCATGGCTCCTGGGACTGAGTGATGAAAAGCGTTGTGAGGTTAGCCCAGGTCTTGTTCAAACCCACCCTCAAAGGTAGTTAGTTCAGTAAGTGGCCAGCAGCTGGGACCCAAGCTCTGGGTGGCCGCCCACCTGTCTGTACTAACACTGATAAAAATAAGGGTGCCCCATTCCAGCTTTGCTGCTTTCACATGTTGGATGATTATATTGTTTTCATCTACCAGAGCTTTTTCTAGGTCTGATTGACATTAAAGTGTCTGTTTGATTCTTGGATTTTTCACAGAAATAATTATCAACTAATTTATAATTATAGAATTCAAAGAGGAGCATGGATAAGAAGAGAGCTGGTCACCTTCTCGCTGGCTGAGACGGTAACTTGGCTCTGCGCTTCTTGGTTCTCGGATATCCAGTTCCTCCGGGCCATTTCTTCCCATTCTGCTTGCATCTTATCCCAAAACTCCGTATCTGACTAGGAGACAGGAAACATGGAGAGAGGTGGGTTTAAGGACATGGCATATATCACTCGGTTTATTTCCAGAAAGACAGTTTTCCTCATAGATCGAAATGAGTTCTGCTGAGGAATAAAATGTGGAAACTGGCCACATCCAATGATGTTCACAGTTGAAGAACCCTGGAGGGTCCTCAGTGGTCAGGGTGTTTAACTGGATTAGCTGGGACTCTCTCTAGCAGGGAAATCACTACCCTCTGAAGGACCTGGATCACAGATACCAAACTCAGCTAAAAATCCATTACTTGAACAATTTCAAGTGTGGGTACCAGAAACACGTTTTAGGAAGGATGGCCTTTCCTCCAGCTCCGAGGATATGAGGAGTTAGAGCAACAGCTTTGGGACTGCCTGGGCAGTGACTTGGAGGGGCAGCTGGCTATGGCCAAGGAAAAGTAACATTAGTTGATGCTACTCTGTGTGAAGCGCTGTGCTGGGAGAAAACTGAGGGTTGTGGTCACAAAGCCAGGGCTGCACAGGATCTGATCCCTAGTCTCGCTTCCAAGGCCCTGCTTATCACCTTATGACAAACCTGGCCTCCTGGTGCTAAAGAAGGACCCTGGCTTTGGGTCCTGGACAGATCGTCTTCAAGGCCTTTTCTATGGCAGAATGATGTGTTTGAGAAATACTACTTTTTCTCCCTTATAATTTTCTTTTACATCTTTCAAAAGGGAAACCTGTTCTTATTTAAGAGGAGGTTTGTGTTCTGGATGGAAGCAGAATTTTCCTCCAAGATCTGTCCCAGGTTGGCCTCTATTTGATTGAGCCTGAAAAGCATAGTTTAGGCGTCCTGGGAAGAGGGAAAAGGGGAAAGTGTCTTAAAGGGCTTAAGAGAGGAAGGGGAACTTTCCAGGAGTGGGGAGAAAAGGAGGTGGTAGGTGCTGAGATGTGTGGAAGGACTGGCCTCCTAGGCAATGACAGAGGGTATGAGTGGGGGAGGGGAGCTGACTTGAACTTTGATTGCCATGTGTCAGGGGAATAGAGAAAAACTGAATTTCAAGGATCCACTTGGGGCTTGGTTGGCTGTTAGCAGGACAAATAAGAGGGTGAAAAGTTGTCCTTGTTTTCTGGCAGCACATAAGCTTCCCAGATTGGGTATCTGGGACTAAGTTACCTTCCCAGTGCGGTAAGAGAGATGCTTGGAAACCACTTGATTTTCTTTAAAGAAAACAAAGAAATGGGTATTTCCTGAACACCCGAGTCTGGGACTGAGAGCCATACTCTACCTGCCAGTCTCAATTTCTATGATTCTAAGTCCTGTGACTTGTTGCCACACCATCAACTTGACTTGAGGTTGCCCTTCGCCCATGAATCCTCCCAGTCTCACCCTCCATGCCACCCTCATGCCTGGTGGTGGCTGTGCTATGGCATGACCTTTTCTTCAAAGTTGCTTGGAATGATAAATATAAGCTTATTTCTTCTGTATATGAATGTTCAGGGAATAAAGGCAAGTCCGATGAGGTTAATCCGGGGCTACCCGATAAGTAGTAGGTCTTGTTCCTTTCCTTCATTATATCCAGGATACTCATTCCTACCACAGAAACGAGTCCTGTCCCTTCAACCAAGGCTCAGGGCAGCAGGTGTCTTGAGAATCTGTGGTTGGGATGCTAGAAGCACATGGAATGACCACCACTTATCCAGGTTAAAATGAGGAATAAAAGTCCAGACTCTTGTTCAATGAGTCTTTCTAGTAGAGTACCAAACTGTGCAAACAGAATGATCTCAGGTGTACAAAAGCAATGGCTAGATAAAAAACTCGAAGGAAATATGCTCCCATGCTAAGTAATGAAGATGGGTGATATTTTTTCTGCTTCTTTACATTTTTCCGTACTTTCTGAATTCTCTGATTTTGCATTGATTTTATAATAATAAAAGTTAAAACAACAATAAAGCATCACATGATCTCACTTATATGTGGAAGCTAATGAACAAAATAAACTGACAGACAGAATAAATCCAGAGACATGGAAGCATTCAACGGACTGATGAATCTCAGAGGAAAGGGTGGGGGAGAGATTAACCAAAGAATTTATATGCATATATGCATAACCCACGGACACAGACAATAGTGCAGTGAAGGCCTGGGGAGGGGGCGGGACTGGGGTGGACAGGGTCCAATGGGCGAAAAAAAAAAGGACATCTATAATACAATAAAGATAAATTTAAAAGAATAAATTAGCTTTCCTTTCTTAATACCATGAAACCTGAATTTTACATACTGAGGAGTTAGGAGAAAATTTTTGGAGACTCATTGTCTGTCCTAAATACCTTTTCAAAGATGCAGGCTCACCTATCTTCATAGGCACTAAGAGAAATCTGTCAGGTGAATTTTACAATGTTTACTGACTTTCCCAAGCCCCCTGGTGGGTAATGTGACATGCCAATGACTTCCAGTACTTTTTAGGCAGTTACTTGTTCCCCTAGTGCGATTCTCCAGAATTTCAAGCTATTCCAAGTCTTCTGAATGAACGAATGAGGAGGATTTTATAATGTGTACATCTGGGTTACAAAAGGATGCATCACCTTTCCTGCAGTTTCAAATTAGAGCAGTAGATGCATAAATAAGACTGCTGTGGAAAACAGACGAACCTCAGCTCAGGGGGGCTGCCGGGCTCTCATTTAATGAGACACACCAGGACTTACTGTTTCCACTTTGAATAAGTTCTGACTAATTAAAGTGCACAGCACAGTTTCATTTAATTACAGAAGACTACTTTTAGCACAATCAATTTTCATCCAGTCTCAAAATCCAGACTTCATTCACGTAACTGCAATTAACACTGCTGCTTTTTTTCTATTTCTAATCAATTTCAGAGAAACCTGAAACATATTTGAATTTTAAACATTTTAGACAGGACTGAGGGGATTTAATGTATTGATGATTTTCTTTGTTGTTTTGTGATTTTGGTAGGTTGTTTTTTATATTCTATACATAACAAGTTATATGCTTACACCAGAAATGAGCTATTGTTTGCAAACCATTTTCATTTTCAAAAATAGCTTTCTGATAACAATGCTAGGAATTCATTAAAAAAAACTTGGGATATGCAATATGATGATTAAGAACAGCAGCTCACTCCTCAGATGAACCTGGGAACAATTATGGCTCCATTACTGACCTTCTGCAAATACCATTACCTCTCTAGGTCTCATTTCCCTTATCTTAAAAATGAGATATATAATAGTGATCTTGGTCAGTTGTTATGTGGACTAAATGAGAAAATCTATCTGTGGCATAAAGCACATGGTAAATGCTCCATAAAAGTAGGTGTTCTTATTAGTGTTTCTGCAGCATTGAAAAATATAAAAAATGAACAAAAAATCACCCATAACCTCAAAACTCAAATACATATCTGTGAGTGGTGTTTTAATTTGCTGTAAACACAGATCCTCTTCCAGATATCTTTCCTTTCATTATTTAAATCTTTCCCTTCTAACTAATCATTCAAAATTAGAGGGAAGTTAAGAATATTATGGTAAAAATGGACTGTTACATAACAATTAAATGGTATTTATGAAGAGTTCATTACAACATGGACTAGCCCTTGAGTTATAATGTTTCTTGATAAGTAATATGATCACAATGATAGAAAACAACAAACAATACACCAGGGAGGCACCAACAGCACTGCTTTCATGGGATGGAACTATGAGTAATCTGTCCCATCACTGTTCCTTGTACTTTTCAGCATTTCCCAAATTTTCTATTACTAGCATGTGTTATTTTGGTGAAAAAGTGAGATTTGGTTAAAAAATACTGACTTCTTTTCAATTTTACTTTCTCCAGTGATCCCACACTAGAGCAATTTCTTGTCTCTGTGAATTCTTTCAACACAGATATTGTGTTAGTGGTTTGAAATGAGAGAAGTATGTGCTAGAAACTGCCATTTCCCCTGTGAACTTGAGCAAGTCATTGTAACCCGTCTGTATATTATTTTTTCTTATTTGTAAAGTGAGACAACTGGGTTTATTAGACAAATAGCTGAGGCTTCATTGTCTATGCAGATTGACTCAGAAGATCAGAATAAGGGGGAGGGGAGCCTGTTCACTGATCTCCAAAAATTATACTTTAAAGTGTTTTCCCCAAAGCATATTGGACATCTTCCCTTCAGTTTTTGATTGCAAAACTAGAAAATAAAAATTTCCACAAAAATCATGACAAAATTAAATATTAATTATATTAAACTACAAAGAATAAGAAAATAAGTAATTTAATTTAGAACCAGGAAATTTTAGGGATAGCAACATATTATCAGTTCCCATTCACCAGCTATTCTGGTCACCCTTGAGTTAAAACAGAGGTACTTTTAACTTTGTCATCAAACAACTGTTGATTAGAAAGATCCTGGGGCTGTGCTGTGAAAGAACTGATGATCCATGTGAGACCACATGCAACTGGCATCAGTTCTGCCTGTCAGGAGTCTGACTTCCTTTTTGCTTCTTAGACATCCATTGATTAACTGTTACTGGATCAAAACTTTAAAAACCAACCAACCAACCAACCAACCAACCAACCAACCAACCAACCAACCAACTCCTTCTATATGTGGAAAAGAAAAGTGAGCACCTCTTGCATGGCGAGGAATGAAAAATACTGTGCAAGGTTGGGTAAAATACTTGCCACAACAAACAGGTTTTTTTTGAAGTGAAATTATGTGCAGTCAGTTTGGGACCCCAGTGCCCTAAGATCCAGTAGCACAGGCTGGTGAAGACCGGCTAAACTGTTCCCGCTCAACACATCTCTTGTTGACTAAGCTCAGTATTAGTCAAGAATTCCATATGGCCACCCAAAGAACATATTCAACCTGTGGCTACAATCACAGGTGTGCAGCATTCTGATCAAGGAACGGATAGAATTTGGATTGATCAAAATTAGTTTGAGCTCTGGGTACAGTCCAGGTTGTCCCATGGAGTGAGGGGTCATTACCAAATGAGTCTACTCAGGCAAGAGTGAAAGTGCAAGA